GCCGCGCGCCACCCGGCCAAACTCCCAGCGAGCAATCGGTGATGCGCCGCCGCCGTCATCGATATATATACATGTACACATATATATATATACACAAATAGATACAAGACTGCATTGGCGCTTCGCGCCATGCACCTTGGTCCTTCGAGGTTCGCCAATAAGGCCGTTCGCGCCATCTTTCTTGGCCTGGAGCTGCGGTCAGCTATTCTGGGGTTGCGTGTGGACCCGAATCTCGGGGGGCGGACCCTGCCATGTGGTGGCGAGAACGTCAGAGGCCTGTCAGCATGAAAGTCGACGGGACACTTTGGCCCTCGAAATCTGAACCTGGATCCCTTGCCCTCCTCTCTCGATCCTGGACCTTTGGAAAACCGGCCCCCGAACGTCGAACCACGATCCTTCTGGGAAGTGGACCGAGTCTCAGGTTCGCAACGGACTCCAATCTGTGGCCAGCAGCAGGACGCGTAAGGGGGAGGAGGTTCGTCGTGCGCCCCAGTGCGCTTGCATTCCGAATTAAGTGGCTGGCCGTCAGGCGCCGCCCGCCGCAGCGGCCTCGTCGACCTCGTGCGCCGAAATCAACATAATGCAGGTTTGGCGACGGACGTGCCTAACGGGAATGTCGCGAAACTGGAGCTCGGACGTTCTGAGCCCTCTTGGGGCTCTGTTGGGAAGTTTTGGGCCCCCGTTGGGCCGTCTTCGGAACTTTGGGCTTTGAGGGGCCTTCAGAAGCCATTACCGGCCCTCTTGGAAGCTTCCATTGGCTTTCTGGGAGCCTTCCATGGCCTCTCTTGGGGCCTCTTGGATCCTTCTTGGGACCTCCTGGGGCCCTCTCGGGGCGGAAAGGTAGAGTTTGGAATTGGTGGTGGCCTTCGCGGGCCCCTCTTGGGGCCTTCTCGGAGCCCTCTTGGGCCCTCGTGGGCACTTCTTGTGCCGTCTTGGAGCCCTCTTGGGCCGTCTTGAGGCGCTCTTGGAAGCCTCGTGGGCCGTCTTGAAGCGTCGGGGAGCCGAAACGGCGAGAAGGCCGAAAACATCGAACAAGACAATGGACTATCTACGATTTTGGCCACTGGGGCCCTCTTCGGAAGCCTCTTGGAGGGGTCTTGGGGCGTTTTAGAGGCCTCTTGGGCTGTCTTGGGGCCACGTTGGGCGTTTTGGGCGAATTTTTGGGCGTCTCTGGGCCCTCTTGGACCGTCTTGGGAGCCTCCCGCTGGCCCGTTGCCAAGGCTTCGCATGGACGTCCGGAACGTCCAGAGGCCTGGAAGTCTCGTGGGACCTTTGGGAAGGGCGTCCGGGGGCCGCAGACACGAAACCGAGGAGGGAATTTAGGGAGTCCGGGGTTTCCGAATCGAGGATTCTAAAGAGTCGGGTCTCCCCGGGGGGGGGTCCCCCCCTCCGGGATTGCAAACATATAAAAATGGGAATGCGTATGCACATGTATATACACAAGAGTGTACCGTCTCGCTTCGCTTCGCCTTTGAAATATTGGTCGCATGGCTCTAGAGAAGCGCCCCCCGAGCGCTAGCCGACAGCGCCGCGGTGCGCTTTGGCGCTGGCGTCCATGAAGCTCATGGAGCTGATGGGCTTCAATGCCTCAGAAGGCTCGTGGGACTCTCAGGCGCCATTTGGGCTCAGGGGCTCGTACATCGAAGTCGGCCATGGGGGCAATAGGGCTGGCGAAACGCGTTGGGGTCATACGGGCCCACGGGTATCGCAGGTCTGACTTGGCTCTGGGCGTCACAACGCCGATGGGGCCGTGAGGTTCGGGCTCATAGGGCTTCTGGCCCGAATAGGACGCACATGGACTCACGGGCGCTGCGGTTCTTACGGGCTCTCTGCAAGGTAGTCGTGGCTCGTCCGGGCCAGGACGGCCGCAAGGGCCATGGGGTTGCGTGGAGCACGAAACTTGTAGGGCCCAGGAAGCTCACAGGGCTCATGCGGATCACGGGGCAATAGGCCCCCGCAGGGCTCACGGGGCTCATAAGGGGCTCAGGCTGCCCGAAGGGGCCGTCGGGCGCATGCGGCTCGGGGGGGCTCATGGGGGCAGTGAAGCCGACAGGCCTCATGAGGCTCATGGGGCTCGCGGGGCTCGTGCAGGGTCATGCGGCTCCTAGGGCCCATGGGGCTCACAGGGCTCGGGGGGGGGGGCCGCGAGGCTCATGTGGCCCTTCCAGCGCGCCCATAGGGCCCACGGGCCTCGCGGCACGCAGGGGGGACGGCCCGGGCACTGGAAGGTCAGGACGGCCACAGGCCGCGGAGAGAGCCTGCCACGACGACGTGACAGCCAAGTCATCGATCGTGACCAGGGGGGCGGCACGGTGGCTCGGTGCGGTCTTTCGGCCATGGCCTACCTTTTGCGAAATAGCTGCGGCGGGGGGAGGGGGAGGAGGAGGAGCAGGAGGAGCACGAGAAGGAGGGCGCGCGGCCCGCAGGGCTTGTAGGGCTCAGGAGGCCCAGATGGGTCGCATGACTCGTGGGTCCCGAATGGCGTGTAACTGTCACAGGGCGTTATCAGGGACAATAAGGCTCATGAGACTCACATGGCTCGCGGTGTCAGCGAGACTCATCGGGCTCGCAGGTTCCATGGCGCCCAGAACGCTCATGTGGCTCACAGGGCTCATCGAACCAGCGAGACTGACAGAACTCTCAGTGGCCATGCTCAGGGGGCCAGCGGCCCAAGGACGCCCATTGTTGCCATAGGGCTCCTGGGTTCATGGAGCCCTATGCCGCAGATGAGGCGCATAGGGCGCATGAGCCTCAGGCGCCCCCAAACAGGCGGAGGAAGGGAACGAGCGCGGTGAGGACCAGGACGGAAAAGGAGAAGAGAAGGGGTGAACGTGGCGGCCTCCACGACTGCCTTCTGCGGGTCGTGTTGGGGGCCGCCTGGGAGCGTTCATGGGGCGCTGCGGGGCTTGCAGTGCCCGTGGGGCTCAGGGGCTCATGGAGCCCGTTGGGCTCATGCGGCTCTTAGGGGCATAGGGCTCATGACCCTCATGGAACCCGGGAGAAGAGAAGGAGGAAGGGGAGGACTAGGAGGCCCCTCTTGCGCACGCCGCACGGCGGCAACGTCGGGCTCGTAGGCCGCGTGCGGAACATGCGGCTCGTGCTGGCTCGGAGGTGTAAGAGGAGAGGGCTTTGAGAACCATTGGTGTGAACCATACGCAGGCTGGCGTAGGAAGGATGAGGGGGGAAGAAGCGGTAAGGAGGAGCGGAAGGGACGCGAGAAGGAGCACGGGGGGAAGATGAGGCACAGTAGATGGCGAAGAGGAGGAAGGAGCAGGGAAGGAGAGGGCCAACAACAGCTGGGGATGAGTTGAAGAGGAGGTGGAGGAGGAACAATGACAACAAAGCAGGGTGAGAACAAGGAGGATGTGGACAGCGGGGCTTTCGTCGACTTTGCATTTCCAACATTGTTTATCTGCGTCGTCATCCAAGGGTAGTTCCCGTGATCCAGGAGTGTTGACAACTGTTCTGCTGGGCTTGCTGCTTGCGGGGCGCCTGTCGCCTTTCGTCCGCCCCTCTCTCTTGAAGGCAGCGGTGGCGCCTCGTGGGGGCCGTTTGGAGGCCGGAGGCCTCTTGGGCCCGCTGTTGGTCCTCTTGGGGACCTCTTGGAACCCGCTTCGGCCGTCCTGAGCGCCTCCTGGGCCGTCTTGGGGCCGGCTTGGGCGTTCTTGGGCCGTGTTTGGATGTTTTGGGTTGCTGTTTGGGTCCTCTGAAGGTCTTCTGGGGCCCGTCTTGGTACACCTTGGGCTGCACTGGGGCCGTCTCGGGCCGGCTTCGGGTCTTCTCGCGGACTGTTCGGGCCGTCTCGATCCGAACCGGAGGGTTCTCGGGCCGTCTCCTCAGACGGCGCTGAGAAACAACGGCGAAAGGTCCGACGATCCATGTTTCTTGTTGAGGACCGGAATGTGCGTTTTTGCTTCCTGGGCCCTGCTCGGGGGTCCTCGAAGAGTCTTCTGGGAGCGTCTGGGGGGCTTCCCGGTCCATGTTCAGGCCATCGTGCAAGTCGTGGGGCGCTCTTGGGCCGACTCGAAGGTGCGTGGAAGCCTCGTGGGAGCAATCGGAAGCCTTCTGGGGGCCTCTTGGGAGCCTGCGCGGGCCGTCCTGCCGCCTCGGGACCGCCCAGGCTGGAACGTAAGTTGGAGGGGGGATCCACACCGGATTTTCCTAGCTATATAAATGAACTTGAAGATCAAAATGTGACCGGCTGACGTTGTTATATACATATATAGATGAATTTGCATATCAAAAACGGCCACTACGACGCCAGCCACATACACAAATGGGTAATTACACGAAGATATGTAATACGAACATGTCGACCGATCCTTGTTGAAAGTACATACCGGGGGTAGTTCATTTTCAGCACGGGCTCTGGCTTGATACAGCTTCTATTCGCATGGCCATGCGCTTGCTTGACAGGTGCAACAGTTTTAAAGACGGAGCGCGATTAGTTACAGGAACGCCCCTGAACATCGAATAATCGTACATTGCGTTTGAGCACAGCGGGACAGGTAGAGAGGCGGACTACCTTCGAACCGGGTCTCTCAACTGCATGGCAAACACATGGGGCGCTCGTTTTCCAAGGGTGCGCTTCCCGCAAAGAAATGCCATGGTAGACGCCACTTGCGGGGAGACAGCATCCCCACCCGACTCTTCGGCGATGCCACCTCTCAGAGATCACTGCTCCCACTCTACACGTCCAGTGGCGGATGTGCGTGACGACTGATGCGGAGCGCCCCGGGGCCCCACCGGCAAGTGGTCAAGACATCCAAGCTCGGGGGGCATTTGTGCCAGCCCGAGCTGGCCTTGAGCGACGCAGCTGGCGAGGAGAACCTTCTTCGACTGCGCTAGCTCATGTACCTCGCTTCGGACTCTCTACATCCAGCTGGAGAGACTCGCAGCCCCACCGTCGCTTGGTCAAGGAAGCCATGCTCAGGGGAGAGCTCTGCCCGCCTGGGTTGGCCTTGGGCGACGCAGCTGCCAGAGAGGGGCTTGACCCTGACCTCGTGAGCTTGTTCACCAAGGCAGCTTTGGAGTCAATCTCTCTCCGCAGTTCGGATGCGATCATGCGGGCCCGCTCCTGCGAGCTGAACGTCTCCCTGTGCAGGAGATTCTCCCAAGCGTTGAAACGATCCTCCGTGGATGCCTTATGTCCGAGTAGGTCGCAGCGCAAATCAGCAATTTGATTAGATATATCCCTCGCCACGGAGCCAATGCGCTCTTCCATAGCGACGTGCGACACATGCCCAATCCGCCTACCCCTTGGGGTTCATCGGCGTGTGCGATGTTTCCCACTCCCCAAAACCCCTCCCCCGGGAGCCCGGTCCGGTCGATTTGGAGGGGGTGGGGGGGTCCCCCGGGGTGGTGGGTGAACGCCCCCGTGGGGGCAGCGGGCTCTAAAACAGGTCAAGAAGGCTCCAAAAGGCCCTTGGGGTGGTCCACGAGGGTCCCGAGTCGCTGAAAGATCGATCCAAAACGCCCGCGCTGGCCTGCCGACGGCCCAAGAGGCCCCCGGGACGCCAAGAAATCTCCAAGAGGCGCCCCAAGAGGACCTCCAATTTCAAAAACCGCCCATTCCCTTCGGAAAACGTGCATTTGTTCCACATTCGTCTCTTGGGCGTTCACAGCGCCACAGACGGCCCAATAAGCCTTCAAGTTCGCCCCAAAACGGATCGAGAGGCCCCCAAGAGGGCTCCAAGACGGCCCAAGAGGGCCCCCAAGACAGCCCCAGGAGTGGGCCCAAAAAAGGAGCCCGAACGGACATTTCGAGCAATCCCCCCCAAGACGCCTCCGGGTTGCCCCAAGGAGCCCCCAACAAGCCCCAGGGATCCCCAAGATGGCCGCAGCAAAAACCCCAAGAAGTTCCCATGAGGCCCCAAAGAGGTTCAAAAACTGCCTCCAAGACGCCCCTGAAACGCATCCCACGAGACCCCTATCAGCCATCCGAATGGCCTCAGACCCGCAGACCAGGTACGGTAGCGCGATGTGCCGAAGGCCATTCGATAATCATTCGTCGGGTGTTTTGACAGATGCCCTCCATCTGTATACGTAGGTTCTCGCTTGTTTCCCCGCGCGTGCCCGTTACCCTGTGACGTGCCCAACCCATTAGCATCAAGTGACAAGATGAGTTTGCCCAAACTTGCCAGGACAATGGCAGTGCAGGCGCCGTTATATGTTGTGCGAGCTACATGGGATGCGCTCACGTGGCACGATACACAAGACAACGACAGAAGGACGAAGAGCGAGAGCCCAAGCTTGAGTAGGACATGGGACATGAGGGCGGGAACGATTGGCAGAAAAAAGACGCGCGGGGGGCCGAACCGTCAGCGCGGCAGCAGCAGAGGAAAGGTGGCAGGGGGCAGGGGACGACGACGTTGACGGGAGGAGGACCGAAGAGTGTTGCCTTCGATTGTGCGATAAAGATGCAGCGTTGCCTGCGCCATGTCGTCGCGGCGCGCAAACAAAATATCAAACCTGCTTAGAGTTAGTCCAAGAACCGCGCTGGCGCCGCCGCAGCAGAATGTGCCGGACCTCCTCCCCCGGTTCCTCCTGCTCCTCCTCCTCCTCGTCTTCCCCTTCCTCCTCCTCCGCCTCCTCCTCCTCCACCTTTCCTCCTCCGCCGCCCCTGGACCCCTCACGAGCTGTCCCTGCACCCCTGCCGGGAATCTGACGACGGCTGGGAAGATCTGCCTCCAAGACGCCCCCGAGACGCCTCCCGCGAGACCCCATGAGCCATCCGAGTGGCCTCAGACCTGCAACCCAAGCCCGGCGGCGGGATGTGCCGAAGGCCACTCGATCCGCAGCCCCCTGTTGATTCATCATAGGGGTGCCTGGCGTGCTGGACCCTTTCGGTTTTGGTTTTGGCTCTTTTTCCCAGAGAACTCTCTCCTGGGGCTCCGGCCCAGCCCGCTGGTCACCCGGAGAGGACCGCAACGCACGGAATTTGCAGAGCAAAATCTCCCAAGACGGCCACGATGGGCCAAGATGGCCGCCAAGATGCTCTCCAAGACGGCCAAGATGGCCCCAAGATGCCTCCAAGACGGCTCAAGATGCACCTGAGTCGGTCTAAGATAGTCTCAAGATGGCCCAAGACGGCCCTAGAGGCTCCCAAGAGTACTCCAAGACCGTCCAAGAGGTTCTCCAGGAAGGCCTGGCAAGGCCAAAATCATTACTTTTTTCATAAGTGTTTGACGGATTTTCGGATTAGCTGCTTTTCGGTCCGCCGACGGCCCGAGACGGCCCAAGAGCCCCCAAAGATCGCCCCAATATCGCCCAAGAGGCCTCCAAGATGGCCCCAGAACGGCCCAAGAGGCCCCCAAGACTGCCCCAAGAGGGCCCTAAGATGACCCACGAGGCCTCCAAAACGTCCAAGATGGCCTCCAAGGCGGCCCTGGAGCACCCCAAAAGGGGCCCAAGTCAGCCCAGAGAGGCCCTCAAGACGACTCCCGACGGCGTCAGACGGGCGAGGAGGCCATCAAGACGGCCCAAGATAGCTCGAAGATGGCCCAAGACGGCCCAAGAGGCCTCCAAGAGGCCTCCAAGACGGCCCCAGAGGCCCCCAAGGGACCCCCCGGAAGGCCCGACGAGGCCCAAATCCTTGATGTTCCCTAAGTGCTTGGAGGATTTTGGCGGTTGCTTCTTTTCGATCTTTCGACGGCCCGAGACGGCCCAAGAGCCACAAAGATCGCCCCAAGATCGGCCAAGAGGCCTTCCAAAATGGCCCCAGACTGGCCCCAGAGGCCTCGAAGACGGCCCCAAGACGGCCCAAGAGGCCTCGAAGACGCACAAGATGGCCTCCAAGGCGGCCCTGGAGCACCCCAAGAGGGCCCCAAGTCGGCCCAGAGATGCCCCCCAAACGGCTTCTGAGGGCGTCAGACGGGCCAAGAATCCCCTAAGACTGCCAAAGAAGCTCCCGAGAACTCCCCAAAGGCCCCCAAGAGGCCCAAGAAGGCCCCCAAGATGCCTCCAAAAGGCTCCCAAGGATGCCCCCAAAATGCCCCCAGAGACTCCCAAGATGCCCGCTCCTCCGCCTCCTCCTATTCCTCCTGATCTTCCCCGCCATCCTCCCCCAAGTGTTCCTCGAATGGTTTCTACAACGGCTGGGGGACCACATGGCCCGATAGCTTGGCAGAGCTCTTGCCACAACGCTCGGCCACATGGGCGATTCCAAAGGCAGAGGACGGCGGTGATCCGCCGTAGGCGTCTTCGATCATTCGTCGGGTGTTTTGGCAAATGCCCTCTGTCTGTATACGCGTGTTCTCGCCCAATTCCCCATGCGTGCACGGCGAATGCTGAGAATGTCAATCCAAGAGGCCCCGAAACGGCACCCAAGGGGCCCCCATGAAGCCCCAAAAGAACTCCATGAAGCCCCCCAAAGGCGCACAAGAGGCCCTCAGGAGCAACACGCAACAACCACCAGTTCCCAAAGGGGTCGGCGGTGCGGCATAAGCCCAAGAACATGCTCCCGATACGCTTGTCGCAAGTCAGCCAGCTCTTTCGCCTGCAGGTCAGCCTTGTCTCGAACTTCCCTATCGAGAGTGTCCATGATCTCGGCGATGCGGCTCTGGAACTGATCCCGCGACAGCTGGAGAATCTTCAAGTCCTCGGTAAACCTGCCTGAATCATCGCGCTGCTGCTGCTCCACGCGAGCGATGCGGTCTAGTAGTGCTCCGCTAGTGCTGCTGACCTCCGCATGTTTGTGCTGTAGATCTGTCAACATCGTGTAATAGGTTTCGGAGACCTCGCTCAACATATTCTCCAGAAGATCGATGCGTCCCGTCACTGACACATAGCGTGCATGATGTGTAGCAGCGTTGTCGTCGTTTGTGATTTTGACGTCCTCTATTGCCTTCGCCTGGCTATTCGCAGAAATCGTCACCTCATGTTTAAACAGCTCGAAACTCTCCAGCATGGCGCTTCGCCATTCCTGAACGTCTTGTACCACCCCATCACGCATGGCGGTGTGTTCCTTCGACGTCTTGATAAGTTCATCTGCAGCGTCTCCAAACCGCTTCTCTAACATTGTCGTGCGCTCTGCAACGGTGGCATGCTTACTTTCCAGAGTGACAAAGTCTTTTGCCGCCGTGTCCTGCCTTGTTCGGCACTCGCCCAGTTCTCTGTTATGCCTTTGCACGACTTGGCCCAACTCGTTCTCTAGAGAAGCCACGCGATTCTGGAATGCACCGTTTTGCATGTGGGCCTGCCTGAGGTCGTTCATGCTCTTCCAGAGGTCCAAGCTCATCTGTTTCATCTTGTCTACAATCCCACAGACCTCGTTCTCGAGAGAACCGATCCGCTGTGACAATGGGGCGTGGTCATCCTTATGTTCCGTGCAATCTCCCAAAAGAGCGGCGTGCGAACTGGGAACATCCGCAAGTATTGTGATTTTCCTCGGAGCCGACTCTCCGATGCATGCTTCAAGAGACCCCATACGTCTGCACAGAACATCTCTGGATACGCGAATTTCCTTCTCCAAGAAAGCAACGCGGTCCCGGAGGCGATCTTGGCTACTCGCCAAGCCAACCTCCTCTTGTAGCTGCAGCACATCTTGCCTGAGCTGCAGCATGTCTGATGATAAGATGCTGACCTGCTCCCTGCTTAGGTTCATTTGCACAACATGAAGCCCAGACTTCTGCTCTTCTATTTCTGCGATCTTGAGGCTGGTACTAGTGCTCTTCGCCAACGAATCATGGGGACTGCCAGCCTCACTGTGGTTGAACATGGATGACAATCGAACCTACGTCTTAGAGAAAGTCTGAATAACGATGGATGGACCTCTTCTGGTGGCTCGGCCAGGAGGCATGAACCAAAACGGCGCCAGCCAAATCTCAACGTGTTTTGGGCTTAGGGAGTCGTAGTGGCTCTCATTCTAGCGTTCGGGGTGGAATTTGTAGAGACCCTCGACATTCTGGAGCACCCCCGAGTGCTAGGATTAGGTCGGGCATGTCCTCCCACAGGCGGCTTTTGGGCGAAAATTAAAACATAGCCAACACATATTGAACAATAGTCAACACATCGCCCCCAGACTATGTTTAGAATGTGCCCGACTTAATCCTAGGGGTTGGGAGGCCCCCCGCCTGTTCGAATGGCGAAGATCCAAGCTGGAGCAGTCAGACTGCGCATGTGTTTTGGCGACGAGCGCAGGGGGGAAGCGACACGGGGGGTGCCTTCCCAGAAGGTTCGGAGGGCCTGTAACCTTCCGAGAAGTTCTCTAAGCTTTCCCCGAAGACGCAGAGAACTTCTCAGAATGCGCGAGGGCTTGTGAGAAGCGTCGCCGCCTTTGTGATGAGAAAAAATTATCCCTTTGACGTCCTCCCCATCGCTTGCCGCTGGGTGTGGAACTTCCCCTGCGCCGCCCGCAAGCTGAAATGAGCTGGTTGGCCCGCGTGTCTTCTGCCCCAACCAAGAAGGGTAACACATCTGCACCATCTTCGTCTTCATTGCACGCAGAGTCTTATGCATTCGTAGTAACGAGTGAGCGGATCTGCAAGCACCTGCGAGCCCTCCTGTCTCGCTGAATGTGCAGGCCATTCGTCAAAGGTGCGGGGCCTGAATGTATACATACCCACCGTCTGGAAGACCGATCTCCCAGGACCCCATCAAGCCATGGATACAGTCCGACCGCGGTCGCAAGACACACTCGTAAGAAACCCAACCCTGAAAACCCGTGCGCGATGTGCAATTTAGGGGGGGACCCAATGAGCTCTGAACGCAGCAGCTTCTTAATACCCGCGGGAAGTCATCGCGGAGCTCGCACAGCGAAGACACCCAAGGTAGTCACACTGGCTTCTTGACACTCGATCCGGCTGCATGCACGCGGGCCTAAACTCTCGACGTCGGCGCCATTCGCACATGAGCGTCCTTTAACCGATCCCTCTCCCCACGGGCGTGGCCTGGGCCACACTGGCCGATTCCTCCCCCTAGATGGGGATATAGGATGTTCCCTTCGAGTGTCGAGGCGCATATCCCCAACTGGGGTGGTGGGATGGTGGGGGTCGGGATGGGGATGGGGATAGGAATCGGCCAAACGATACTGAGCACAGAGGAAACAAAGAAACCGCGAGGATCCTGGGCCACTCCGGGGGCCTGGGACCTGGCCGACGCCAGCGCGCTCCCCCCCGAGGCGCCGACCGCAGAATCCCCAGTGTGACTCCTCCTCCTCCTCCTCCTCCTCCGCCTCCTCCTCCTCCTCCTCCTCCTCCTCCTCCTCCTCCTCCTCCGCCCTCCTCCTCCACCGTCCTCCACCGTCCTCCGCCCTCCTCCTCCGCCCTCCTCCTCCGCCCTCCTCCTCCGCCCTCCTCCCCCTCCGCCCTCCTCCACCGCCGCCTCCTCCTCCGCCCTCCTCCTCCTCCTCCTCTCCTCCTCCTCCTCCTCCTCCTCCTCCTCCTCCTCCTCCTCCTCCTCCTCCTCCTCCTCCTCCTCCTCCTCCTCCTCCTCCTCCCTCGGCCCCGGCGACACGCTGCGCCGTGCACGGAGCACGCCGTGCCGCTCCGCTCCGCGGGGCGGGAGGCCGGGCGCGGCTCTCGGGGCGCCGGCGCTCGCGGGCGGGGGCGTGGGCGGCGCAGCGCACCGAAAAGCGCGGTGCACGCCGAGCAGGCGGAGCGACGCGCCGAGGCAGAGCTCCCCACCGTGTCCGGCAGCCCGGGGGGCCGGTGTCCCAGGGCCCAGCAGGCGACGGATGTGGGTATATCCTGCTCGGGCGCCCGGAGTGGGTACGGAAATGATGGGTACAATGCCCAACAACAAATGGTGTCCCAAACCAACAGCGGCCGTTGTGGGGCAGGCGGCCTTCTGTCTCGCATGGGCACAGGCCGCGGCGGCGCGGACAGCGAATCCTGTTCAAAATGAGCAGGAACCGCTGTTGGGCATCGTACCCATTCTTTCCGTGCCCACCTCGTTCGCGCAGAAGAGTTTCCGACCGTGTCCGCAGCCTGGGGAGCCGGTGTCCCAGGACCCAGCAAGCAGTGGATGTGGATATCCTGGGTTGGAGGCGGCTGGGAGGTCTGGACTGGTTGGGGCCCCGGAGAATCGGTCAGGAGGGGGGGTGAGGCCAAACCGCTCAGAATCTGTCCACAGACCTTTCCCGGAACCCATCCGGTGTAATTTGTTTCGCCCAGGAGGCCCACAAGAACAGAACGCCTGCTCGAACCCAGAACCTCGAACCTGCACCCCCTTCATGAAGGCCAGAACTTGGCGGCGAGCGAGAGGAATTAGAAGGAGGAGGCCTTCTGAGAAGGCGGCGGGACTTCTCAAAAACCCTCGCGCCTTCTGAGAAATTGTGTGTGTGTGTGTGTGTGTGTGTGTGTGTGTGTGTGTGTGTGTGTGTGTGTGTGTGTGTGTGTGTGTGTGTGTGTGTGTGTGTGTGTGTCGGCGGGGCCGTGGATTTGGACGCCCGAAGTGGGTACGGAACCACGGCGTTTGATACCCAACAGCAACCTTTCTCCGACACCAACACAGCGGCAGCTGCTGTGCAGGCGACTAGTCGTCTTGCCCGGGCAACGTCCGCGGCGACACCCCCGGCGAGGTCCTGTGCAGAACGACAAGGAAAACCGTTGGTCTTCGTACCCCAGATTTCGTAATAAAAGGGAGGGGGTCTGGACCCTCCAAGACAAGCCATTTCAGACCTCCCCCGTGGGAGAACCCTCCAAAACATCGTCCCCAGACCCCCCAGGCCCTCCAAGATAGCCTGGAAGAGACCCCCCCCCGAAATGAGACCCCCCTCCCTTTCTTACGAAGTCTGGAGCACCCGTCCTGGAGAAACCAAAAAGAGAGTTCCCATGCCGTGCCGGGTGCCCCGGGCCGACCCGGCGGTGGCGCCGAGGGCCTCCCAGGATGCCGAACCACTGGAAAAGCGAGGCAAAAGGGCCCGGGCCCCGCGCCCTCGCCGCGGGGCCCTGGCGGCCCGCTCTCCGAGGACCCCCCCCCCTCTCGGGGGGCCGCCCGGGAGCCCTCGTGGGGCCCCTCGCCCCGGGCAGTCTTGTGGAAGCCCCAGGGAAGGCTGGCCCGGCCTCGGAGGCCCCGAGTCTCAGGACAGCGGCAGGTGCTGCATGAGCTTCGCGCGCTCGGGGAAGCCGAGAGGGATACCGAGGCCGCCTCCTCCCTGGGCCTCTCCCGGGGTGCGTTCTGGCCAGGCTTCCGAGGCGAATCCGGCGGTGGCGACGAGGGCCTCCCAGGAGGAGGAGGAGGAGGAGGAGGAGGAGGAGGAGGAGGAGGAGGAGGAGGAGGAGGAGGAGGAGGAGGAGGAGGAGGAGGCCCGCAAGGAGGTGCCCTTTCCTCCCCTGGAGCTGCTGTATGCTCGTCGCGCACTCGCCAGGTCGGCCTGAGAAATGCCCCCGGCGGCTCGCGAGGCCATACTCCGAGGGTCTCAACAAGCGTCGGAGGGGGGCGTCATCCCCGCCGACGGCCCCACGTCGACCGCCGTCACGAGCAGCCGCCGCGCGCTGAAGGCGCTCCGACCCCCGTCGCGGCGCGACGACGAGGCGAGGTTTGACCCCCGTCGGGGGCGGAGGAGGAGGAGGAGGAGGGCGGAGGAGGAGGAGGAGGAGGAGGAGGAGGAGGAGGAGGAGGAGGAGGAGGAGGAGGAGGAGGAGGAGGAGGAGGAGGGCGGAGGAGGAGGAGGAGGAGGGCGGAGGAGGAAGAAGCCCAGAGCCGATATCGCTCCAACACGGCCCCCCGAGCCTCCCCGCGAGAGCGGCCCCGCTCCCCGCCCCCCCTCCGCCTTCCCCACGGCTCTCCTGCTCCTCCCGCGCCTTCTGCTCCGCCTCCTGCTGCTGCTGTTCGTCCTCGTCCTCCTCCTTCCTCCTCCTCCTCCTCCTCCTCCTCGTCCTCCTCCTCCTCCTGTTCGTCCTTCCTCCTCCACCTGTTCGTGCTTCCTCCTCCTCCTGCTCCTCCTCCTCCTGCTCGTCCCTCCTCCTCTCTCTCCTCGTCAACCTCCTTCTCTTCCTCCTCCTGGCCATCCTCCTGCTTGTTCGCCACCTCGCCCTCCTCCCCCGATGTGTGCAGCTCCCCTTTCCCGACTGCGCATGCCACGATAGCAGCTCCGCTCTGACACGCGGCGGCTGACAGAGAAACAACCAGCACAATTGAAGGGATGGGTGGAAAGGGTAACGTGTCAGACACAGTCAGCGTGCTACCAGAAGGAGCGCCGACTACAGAACGAAGGAGCTTTTCAGACCATGGCGAGCCTCGGCCACGAATCGGTTCCACGACCCAGATCCACGGAACGGCCCCAAAAAGCAGAGCCCCTCCCGAGCCCGAAGTGGTGCTTATGTCAGCGTCCTGACTGCATGGCGCGAGCGCACCTGGCTTGGCATGAATACCGCTCTCCTCTCTTCCGAGAAGGCGGCCGGGGAGTGGCCTGCCCCCCCCCGCGTCTTTTTCTAGTGCATCACGGATTTCACGATTGGATGATTCCACGGTGCCTCGATCGGAACGTAACGCTGCTGCCACTGCAGCGTGGGCCTCACTTTCGGATCGGCGCTCTGCCTCCGTCGTTCGGAGTAGCGCTCTCGCCCCAGCGCGGGCCGCTATGCTGGATCCGAGTGCTTCCTCGTCGTTGTTGCCCCGCTCCTTTCCTCTCCCCCCGCCTTCCCCTGGTCATCCTGCTCCTCCCGCTTCGCCCATTGCAGCTTCTGCTGCTGTCCTTCTCCTCGTCCTCCTCCCTCCTCCTCCTCCTCCTCCTCTTCCACCTCCTCTTCCTCCTGCTCATCCTCTTGCTTATTC